TGACTAAAAAATAATTTTACACAAAATAGAATAGAATTTTATTCCACGTAGTATCAAATTGTGCTCTTAATGGTGTAAAATTTTACTCCTAATTTTATTTTATTCCATATTGTGCAGTTAAACATTAAATTAAATTGTAAAATAGAACAAAATGTAACTTTATTTCACTCACTAAGCAATTTTTTTAGCCATTATACACATCTGAGTTTGTAAGAGTACAATGCATAGACCAGAAATCAGTATTTGAACAGCCATTTTTATTGTTCACAGGAAACAGTATGGAACAATATAAACATTTGCATCTTCATGACTGTATGACACCTGTAAATCAAAAGCTCTGGCACAGAAAAGCTCTTCTACATAAATAACATGAGGTCCATCTCTTGTACACAAAACTTGAAAAGCACTGAAATGCTCATTCAGACACACTGTTTGCAGTGCAAATGTAACAAACAGTAACCTCTCATCTTTCACAACAACATTGTAGATCTTATGGAAAACTGGCATTTCACAAAACATTTCTTTACAAACAACTAAATCTGCACGATACATATTTCCATGGTGTTTGGCCCATTTAACATTTAATACTTTGGTGTTGATTGGTAACTGAAGAGTCTCTGCTATCTCACAGCCCCACTTCAGTACATTTAAAGGCACCATTTTACCTGGTCCAATGGTCAGTCTCTTGTGGTCAAATGTATGCCAACTGAAAGCAATGTGACTTTGATGCTTTAATGCCAGGGTTTTTGTAACATTTTTAAAACTTTTCAATTGTTTTTTAAAGAAATTGTGTTTAGCTTCGTATCGCATGCACCAGCTATGTAGAATTGGGCCTATTTTGAGTATGCATGTAGGATAATGCACCATAAAATGATGCTTTGGGAGCAACTTTTTTTGTGGAAACAAATGTTTGAATAACCTGTGATGTTCGGCAATCAGGTGTTTCAAGAAAATAGTAATGCCTTTTGATAACACTGGTGAAAAAACAATATTTACTATGTGAAGCAACAGCTGCAGCAAATACCAGTGCTGATCATTTGGACAAACTAAGTCTCCAAAGATGAGTGGTAGGTTACGTAGTAGACACCAGGACTGGATGGCATTTAACCCCAAGTCATTTGAGTCTTCTACCAACTTCACTGCAGGTGGTTTGTTGGTTTGTTCCATGTAGCCATAGTTAAAGCTCCTTATTCTCCTGTCTACATCCTTTAATGTTGTGTACTGGTCAACTACATGCAACAAAATCAGCTTCATTTCATATTGTGCCACTCCTTCCAAGATATCATGCATAATATCAACTGAGAAGTTTTCACATGTACTGAAGTACTGTAGTGAATTTAGAATGCATGACTTTTTAACACCCATAACATATGGAAGTCTGGGATTTGCCTCCATTTTCTGACAATGTTCAGCATGAAGTGCCTTAGTTCGCATAACAATCTTGGGTGAGTCCTCTGTAAACTCTGTCTGAAAGTCCTCTTTCTCAACGAGACAAAAGCGGCAACAGTATCTGGCACTAAATGACTCTACAAAACCAAACAGACAGTGAAGACCAAGGTTGTCACCAGTAACTTGGACAATAGTTCCACGTACTGGCTCATCATACATGGGAACAGTAATTCCATCCCTCTCCAGGATTTTAACATCCTCCACAATCGGATCAAGTATCTTAGAGAAGCCGTAAGTTTTAATGTCCTGCGCATGAAACAGAGAGACCAAGTGAATATTGTGTAGAGCAGAATTGTACTTAGGAGAAAAATTTCGCAGTGTGAAATATATAGCTCCCAATTTATGTATTCCCCTTTTTGATCCCAAAGGATTAGCTGTTTCGAAATCATCATAGAAAAGTTGAATTTGAAGGGCATGATTTTGTTTTGAAAACAGAGCATGGCTCTTAAAAAGTTCTCCATCAGACAAGTCTTTAAGAGTTTCACTTGAATTTGACTTGGCCATCATCTCCTCTATGTTAGGGTGTCTAAAAATAAACTTTAATGTTTCCAAAATTGGGATGTAAACAAATTTATCTGTAACAACCACCTGATCATAGCCCCCTGTGGTTTGACTGCGCAGTGTATCAAATCTGGAACCAAGGACATATTCTACTGGGTCTACACGTCCCCAATTATCTGCCAAAAAACGAGTTCTTTTACTTTCAGAATTTAATATCTTGAAAGGATTTTCCATTTTCTCAAAACATTGATCAATTTTGCACTCAATGTCACTTTTGACAGGTTCTTGTAAAGAAAGACTGTTTTTCACAGATTCTTTTGCTTGATTTTGAAAATCATTAACTATTTCTTCCAGGGAAATTACCAAAGAGTTAATTGCTCTTTCACTTACACCTGCAAATTTAAGTTCTGCAACTGCTGTTGCACAACTATGCACAAGAGATTTCTGAAGCGGGACTGTATCAGAAGCAGCACTCATAGAGGGCAAATTTTGACTTTCAAATGTCTCTTCAGTTGTAGATGGGCCTTCACCAGGATTACAAGTGTGTTTATCATGTGCTTTATTGAGATGCTTTCTGAACCCAGAAAATGTGCCATAAACTTGAGCACAACCTGCCTGACCACATTTAAGACGAAGTGTCTTACCAGAGCAAAGTCCGTGGATCAATTTTAAGTGCTTGGTCAGAGAATTAGCATTTGTCTGGTACTTCTTACAAATGAAGCAGAACATTCCAACTCAACTTAATACTGAAACAATCATAGCAAAACAACTATTTAACGCAGCATCCGAGCCCTCAACTCTGCAACCCTAGGATTTACTTTGGTTGTCTCAACATCTATCTCATAAATGGCGGTCTGCAGAAAATTGTACACATTGACCAGATCATGGTCATATGAAGTGCCGAACACAAAGTGAGCT